TTGGTGAAAGATTAATGACCAAAACCTCGTAATTTTAAAAATTTAAATTCTGGTGGAAAATCGGATTTTAAGTGAAAATTAAAATTTTTAGTAAAAAACAAAATTTTAAATGAAATCAAAATTCACTTTTTAGTGAAAGAAAAACTTGGACTTTTTACTGTAAAATTTTGATTGAAATTTTCTATAGAACAGAGAAACTTTGCTCAAAAAAGTTCTTTTAGTTAGAGGAGCTTTTTTAAACAAAAGTCCTCTTGGGAGAACAGAAGCTTTTCTTAAGAAAACTTATATCAAGTGCAGCATGAAGTACTACGAAGCAGTTTCTTTTAAAAAGTAGTCTAGACTAGTGTAAGTTATTTTAGTTAGAGCAGCTTTTCTTAAACAAAAGTCCTCTTGAGAGAGCAGCTTTTCTTAAGAATATGTATATCAAGTGTAGATTTTCCTAAAAAAAACTCTTCTTAAGGAAGAATTCTCTAAAATTAAACATTTTCTGCCAACAAATTTCTATAACAGAGCAGTTCTCTTAGCTTTCTCTTGAGAAAGCAGCTTTTCTTATGAAATTTTGTATCAAGTGCAGCAACTTTTCTCACAAAAGTTCTAGAGCAGAGCAGCTTTTCTTAAAAAACACTCTAACATAGAGAAACTTTTCTCAAACAAAAGATTTCTAGACTAGAGAATAATTTCCTATGGAAGTTAGATAAATTTGTCTATAAGGAAAGTCCGTATAAAGAAAAAGCTTTTTAATGAAAACTTTCATAGAAGAAAAGCTATTCTTTTCTTAAAGAAAACTTTTCTAAAATAAAAAAGCTTTTTAAGGCAATTTTTCTACATTGGAATAAAGCAGAATTTCTTAGGAAGATAGATCGAATATCAAAATTGAAACTCAATGTTTGTTTTTTTTTTGTGAAATGTTTAAATTTGTTTTTATTAAAGTTTTTAACATTAAAAATCTAATAATTACTATAAAAGTTAAAGCGTTTTTTATTTTGAATTATTTTCATTTCATTTAATTTCAGTTTTTTTTTTCGACTTTTATTTTTTATTAAATTTTATCAATTCAATTAACTATGTTAGGAATTTTTTTTTATTAATTTATTATAAGTTTTCTCAAGAAAAAATTGTCTATAACTTGATTTTCACATGAAGTTTGTTTTTAAAGTTTTTTTCTTATATAAAAAGTTGTGGTGATGATTATTTAATTGTTTTTTCATTAATTTGTTAAGGTTTTTTGGAAAGAAAAAGGACAGGTGAGGCTTTTAAGGTGATATGGCTAATAAATTTGTGTTATTATTTGTTTTAAATTTATTTTGAACACATAAATATATTTATTAAATATTTTTTTTGTTTTTGATTTATTTTAAGATTTTTTTTCAGTTTGAATGAAGGTTTATAGATGCGTTGAGTGATGTTTGCAATATTGGAGTTTAATTATAATTTTTAAAATAATAAAATTATATTGGATTTATGAAATTTGCTAAATTTGTTTGAACATTTTTAAATAAATTTGTTGTTTTTTTTTAATTTTAAGGCTCAATGTAACACAACAATAAGTTTTGTTTTATTATATTTCTATTTATTTGAAATTTGTAAGTTTATATTTTTTCTCAAAATTTAACAGTTTTATAAGTGCTAAACATACTAGTAATTCGATTTAGAAAAATTAAACTTTATTTGAAAAATTTTAAGTAAACTTAGTTTTTTGAATTAAAAAGCTCTTCTTAACAAAATGTTAATTAGATGCTTTAGATTAGCGCAGTGTATTTTAAGAAAAGCTCTCTTGATTAGAGCAGCTTTTGTCTCTAAAATACTGCATCTTTTCCTAAAGAAAAGTTCAACAGAAAGGCCATTTTTTATGGTAAAGCTATGTAGATTAAAGAAGCTTTTTTAAAGAATTGTTCGGCAGATTAGAACTGGTTTCCTCAAGACAAGTCTCTAGACTAGATTAGCATTGCTTTCAGAAAACTTTTCTATATTAGAGCAAGTTCTCTAGAATAAAGTAGCTTTTCTTAAAGATAATTTCTTTAGGAAAGAACAGCCTTTCTTAATAAAAAGTTCTCTTGAGTAAAAGCTGTTATTATTTAAGAAAAGTTTTCTAGGTTAAAACTTCTTTCTTAAAGAAAAGTTCTTTATATTAGAGCAGCTTTTATAAATATAAATTTTCTAAGCTAAAGCAGCTTTTCTTTTAAGAAAAGTTCGCAAGATTAGAGCAGCTTTTCATAACGTCAAATCTCTAGACTAAAGCAGTTTTCCTTTAAGAAAGTTCTCGAGATTAGAGCAACTTTTCTTATAGAATATTTCACTAATAAGAACAGTCTTTCATAACGAAAAGTTCTGAACAGTAAAGCAGTTTTTCTTAAAGAAAAAGTTCTGTAGATTAGAACAACATTTCTTATAGAAAACTTCTCTAGATAAGAACTGTCTTTCTTAATGAAAAGTTCTAGAGAGTACAGCAGCTTTTCTTAAAGCAAAGTTCTGTAGAATAAAGCAGCTTTTATTAAAGAAAGTTTCTTCCAAAAGTTTTCTATGTTAGAACAGCTGTTTTTAAGAAAAGGGTTTTTATATTAGAGCAGCTTCTCGTAAGGAAAATTTCTAGATAAGAACAGCTTTCTTAAAGAAAACTTCTGTAGTAGATTAGGGCATCTCCTCTTAAAGACAAGTTCTCTAGATTAAGTAGCTTTTCATTAGGAATATTCTCTAGAAAAGTTCTATGTACAACAGCAGCTATTCTTAAACATAAATTCTTTAGATTAGAGTAGATTTTTTTAAGGAAAAGGTCCATAGATTGGAGAAACTTTTCGTGAAGGTAATTTTCGGAACTTGGCAGGATTTCTTCAAGAAATGTTCTCTAGAATAGAGAAACTTTTCTTAATAAATAGTTCTCTAGATTTCAACAACTTTTCTTAAAGGAAACTTCTCTAGATTACAGCAGCTTCTCTTAAAGATAAGTTCTTTAGAATGGAGCAGCTTTTCTTGCAGAAAAATGTTCTAGTAAAGAATAGCTTTTCTCAATTAAAACTAATCTAGCCCAGTTGAGATTAAAAGTTTTCCAGATTTTCTTAAGGAAAATTTCTCTAGATAAGAACAGCTTTTCCTAATCAGAAGTTCTTTATATTACAGCAGCTTTTCTTAAAGAAAATCCTGTAGATTAGAGTAGATTTTCCTAAGGAATGGGTCCATATATTAGAACAACTTTTCGTAAAGGCAAGTTTTCTGAACTAGACAAGATTTCTTCAAGAAAAATTCTCTAGATTAGATAAACTTTTCTTAAGGAATAGTTATCTAGATTTTAACAATTTTTCTTAAAGTTGGATTACAGTAGCTTTTCTTAAATATAACTTCTTTATAATAGAGCAGCATTTCCTGAAGAAAAATGTTCTTGTAAAGAACAGCTTTTCTCAATCAAAAGTACTCTAGGCCAGTTCAAATTAAAAGTTTTATCTAATAAAAAGTTCTATATACTACAGCAGCTTTTCTTAAACAAAAATTCTGCAGATTAGAGTAGCTTTTCCTACAGAAAGGGTCCATACAATAGAGAAACTTTTCGTGAAGTTAATTTTTCTGAACCAGACAAGATTTCTTCAAGAAATGTTCTCTAAATTAGAGAAACTTTTCTAAAGAAATAGTTCTCTAGATTTCAAAAATTTTTCTTAAAGAAAAGTTCTCTAGATTACAGCATGTGCTCTTAAAGATATATTCTTTAGAATAATGCAGCTTTTCTTGAAGAAAAGTTTTCTTGTAAAATAAAAGCTTTTCTTAATCAAACGTACTGTAGGCCAGTTTAGATTAATAGTTCTCTAAATTAAAAAAAACTTTTCCTAATGAAGCGTTCTGTAGATTAGTTCAATGAAAAATTATCTAGAAAAAATTATATTGTCTAAAAGCAAAGTTCTGTAGACTAGAATAGCTTTTCTTAATGAAAGTTCTTCTAGAGCTTTAATTAAAAGTTTTCTAGAGCTTTTTTTTTAAATAAATATGTTTCTATTGTCTACATCATGTAAACATCCTTAAGCATCGGTTTTACTAATATGTAAGCTTACTCATAATTAATTTAAGAAAACCTAATAAATAAATTAAAATTTTATTGTTTTTTTGTTTAATATTTCATTGTTTAATATTTTTATATAGTAAATTTGATTTTGAACATTGAGAAAAATTCAATTTATGTTTTTCTTTTTGTCATAATATAATCTTCTACATGAAGACACCATTTGTTCTTCGTTTATTTTTTTCTGCTAATCAATCTATAAATTGTATGCAAAATTTTTTTTAAAAACTTTTTTAAGTCATATTTTGTTAATAATTTTTTTTTACAATTCAATTATTCTAAAAACGTCTATCATTCTTTTTAATTTATGTGTTTTTTTATTATTTTCTTTCATATAATCGGTGGATTTAAAAACCTGGACTTATGTCGTTTTTTTATTATTAATAAATTTACTTTTTTAATTTTATTAATTAATTAATAAGATTTGTTGTTGTTAAACATTTTATTGCCTAAGGCTGAAAATGTGTGTGTATGTGTGAAAGAGAGAGAGAGAGTGTGTTTTGATGAAATTTTGTTTTTTTTGGAAAAAAATTTGATTGCTTTAATTTATGTGGGAGATTTTTCTAAGTGTAGTAGTTTTTTAAAATTTTGAGTTTTAAGATTTAAGGTTTAAAAAGTTTTAGTGTAAATTTATTTGCTGTAGTTTTTCTTTATACCAAAATATAGTGAAAAGATTTAGAGAGGGTGGGTGATGGTTGTTAAGTTGGTTTGTGTCTTAGAAAGGTGCTTTCTAATTATTTTAAGGAATTTAAAGTTTTAAAAAGTTTTCTTCAATTTATTAAATTGAGATTTTTTTCTCCTATATTATTCTAAGAAAAATTCCAAGTAAAAAATAAAGGACTAGAAAATGTAAAAGTGTTTGATTTTTCTTCTAAATGTTAGGAGCTACTTGTAGTAGTTTGGTAGTGATAGTTAGAGTTAAACGCATCATAGAGGATAATTTTACCACAAAACTAAACTACACGGATGTGGTCATTTGTTCAACATAGGTTATAGGTCTCGATAGGGATTGTGAACGTTTGAGTTTACATTTAGGTATTGTAGCAGTAGAATGCGCCGCTACTGCTGGTCCAGTATCTTTAAAAACATTTCTCGATTGATTGGAGGCTGATATTGTAGTGGTAGTAGTGGCAGTGGCCAGAGATTTATCGAGATTTTGACAGGAACAGTGTTGAGCGAGAGGCTGTTGTGCTAGTTGGCGCGGCACATAGATGTATTCACGCGAGGGCTGTGGTTTACATTTGCACTGTTGCGACATAGTCGACAGGCCCTCGGGTACACTTTGACTTTTGCAGTTCTGGAAATAGCTGGAGGGGCTGCAGGTGCAAAGTAAGGGTTGGGTGTTTTCCATTCTATAAAGAGATATTAATTTTAAACAAGGTCTCCTTTAATACATCACATCTTCCAACTTACCTTAAATCTCTATTAGACCACTGAACATTAGCTTGGCACTGTAACTGGAATTGATTGGAACCACAACAGTTGGCATTTTGTATAAAGGAAAGACTACGTCTCAAATAGTTGCCCGTACCATTATCATATATATAAGGATAACGATGATCATGACCCACTTCGGCAGCATGTAAAGCACCCACACCTCCAGTACGACTCAAATCGGTCATAAAATGTCTTCTCTGCTGAGCTGGAGTATGCTGATGCTGATGACAATTACACATAGGCCTTAAAGGTTCACACATACACGAAGAACTTGCACCCAATTGATTTAAACTAATACAACTACGATTTATTAGATCAGGGGCTGGATAATCACAGCCATTGGTTTTCGTATAGTCTACCGTAAAGGCCGGTTGATATTTATGTCGTATATATTGCGTAGACATGGAACGCATGCGCGGTGTTGTCGGCACTGCAGCACCATTCATATTCGAACGTTGTGAAGGATTATGAGGGTATGTGGAGTAACCTATGAAAAATATTATAATGGCGGCTATGGCAGCAGCAGCTGAGCATATATAGTAACCCGCTCGTCCATATTTAAGGGAATAGTCATTGAGAAATATGGTTAAAGGTACACTTATCAGCACTGGTATGGCTTCAATTCCTCTGACAAAAGACCAAGTCTTAGAAAATTTCACCTTGACCCGTTCCAGGGCCAACATTTTCAAAGAAAAACGAAAGCCACCAAAACCAACACCATAAATGCCCGATAATATGCACAGACCTTTGTAGCCCATAATAAAGGACATGAAGAGTATGGAAAGTGCCACAGTAGCCAGGAAAAACTAAAGAATAAATTTTGTTAAAAAAGGTTTTAGAACGACTATTCTAAACCTACCTGCGATATTATTGGTGTAGACAATACAAAATTATGTATAACAAACGGCCTTCTTATTAAGACACCCGCCAAAACTACTCCCAAGGTTGTAGACATTCCCAGCATAGTTTGTAATAGCACCAATTCTTGAACATCGGAACCTTCTTTGGCAGCATTTAAAGACTGAAAATAGCAAAAATTTCGAAATTCTAATTAGATATCCAAAATTAGAGAAAAAGTTTCACTTACCATGGTAAACATTGGTGTATATATACCCAAAGCCGCCACAGCAGAGGTCAATAATAAAATCTTCACTGTGCCCGATTTTAAATTTGATATGTCTTGTAATAATTTCTTTAAAATATTAGGCTCTACGGGAGGATTATTGTTTTTATGATCTCGCATCTGGAAGAAAATAAAAATTAATATCATTTAAACTATATTTAACTTTTCAAAACCCACCTTTTTCCTTTGATTCTTTAAATGCTGTATGGCTCTTCTTTGAGGATGATATAAAGAAGCGGGTCTATATAAAAGACCCACGAAAAAGCTTATCGAAGTTAAGGCCGCTACAATTTGTAAACCACAACGCCAACCCATTTTTCTAAAAAAAAAATTAAAACAACAAAAAATATTATCTGTTCATATCTGTTCAAATCATATATTAACTTACCCCACTCCTTCTTTTAATAGCACCGAAAATAAAGCTATACCCACACCCTCACCCGACATGGCCACCATTTCCACAAAAAGTCTTCTTTTCTTAAAGTAATTACCCAACATTATGGTCGATGTCTCACGCACCATTGCCACGCCTATGCCGAAAACAAAACCTGTAAGGAATATAAGTTATTATTGCAAAATTTTGTTTAAAAATTCGCTGAAGAAACACTTACCATAACTGAAAATAACCTGATCCACTTCAGTGGCAAATGAAGTGAATAGTATTCCTAAAGAGAGTATTAAACCGCCTACCACAGCCATTAGTCTAGTAGATTTTCTCCGACATATAGTCTCCACGAAGGGAGAAATTAACATTGATATTGACCAACTTAGTGCTCCCAGCCATTCTGAAATGATGTTAAGTAATATATATTTAAACTCTCGATCTTCTAACAAAATTTTAAAAGATCGGGTAATGAGTACACATAACAAATACTACTAAATAACTGAATTAGATAAGCAATGTCAGACTCTTAGAATGTATAATTAATTATTACTTTTCTCACGCAGTGTATAGACTATAGACTAGACTAGACTACAGACTATAGACTAGACTATAGACTTGACTATAGACTTGACTATAGACTAGACTATAGACTTGACTATAGACTAGACTATAGACTAGACTATAGACTAGACTATAGACTAGACTATAGACTAGACTATAGACTAGACTATAGACTAGACTATAGACTAGACTATAGACTAGACTATAGACTAGACTATAGACTAGACTATAGACTAGACTTAGACTAGACTTAGACTATAGACTAGACTAGACTATAGACTAGACTATAGACTAGACTATAGACAGACTAGACTATACTATAGACTAGACTATAGACTAGACTATAGACTAGACTAGATAGACTAGACTAATAGACTAGACTATAGACTAGACTATAGACTAGACTATAGACTAGACTATAGACTAGACTATAGACTAGACTATAGACTAGACTATAGACTAGACTATAGACTAGACTATAGACTAGACTATACTAGACTATAGACTAGACTATAGACTAGACTATAGACTAGACTATAGACTAGACTATAGACTAGACTATAGACTAGACTATAGACTAGACTATAGACTAGACTATAGACTAGACTATAGACTAGACTATAGACTAGACTATAGACTAGACTATAGACTAGACTATAGACTAGACTATAGACTAGACTATAGACTAGACTATAGACTAGACTATAGACTATAGACTATACTATAGACTATAGACTAGACTATAGACTAGACTATAGACTAGACTATAGACTAGACTATAGACTAGACTATAGACTAGACTATAGACTAGACTATAGACTAGACTATAGACTAGACTATAGACTAGACTATAGACTAGACTATAGACTAGACTATAGACTAGACTATAGACTAGACTATAGACCGACTATAGACTAGACTATAGACTAGACTGATAGACTAGACTATAGACTAGACTATAGACAGACTATAGACTAGACTAGACTATAGACTAGACTATAGACTAGAACTATAGACTAGACTATACCTATAGACTAGACTTAGACTATAGACTATAGACTAGACTATAGACTAGACTATAGACTATGACTGATAGACATGAGTCTAGACTATAGACTTATAGCCTAGACTATAGACTAGACTATAGAAGACTATAGACTAGACATAGATAGACTCTATTTCTCTCATAGACTAGACGAGACTATAACAAAAGACTAGACTATCGACTAACTATATAATAAGGATCAAAATCTTACCATTTCCATTAGCATTCTGTATATGTTGAACAGCATAGAACAATGTCAAACCATAAGACAATTGCAGACCAGTCGTTAAAATATGCACCAAAAAAGACATGCCACATATAATCCAACCCCAGCCGCCATCAGGATAGAAATGTTGCCTAATGCCAATAGTATCAACTCCCGTACGTCTTAAAGCAGGAATATTACGATGCAACAAATAGAATTCTTGATCCCTTAAACCGGGAAAACCAGAATCCTGTTCTTCAAACTGATGCACGCAAGAATCGGGAGCTAAAAAAAAAACAAACAATTTGAATAGTTTTTCTCTATAGGCAATAAAATAACAAACTAACCATAATAAAAACCATGATTGCAACCACGATTGGCCGAATGTAAGAGCGGCTGGTGGTGGTGGCGCTAGAGTCTCTTGAGGTCGCACCTGTTGATGGTAGAGTTTACCACAGAGGCATGTAGAAGGCATTTGCATTTTATGATGGTCTATATTGTAGGAACTACAACAAGTATATTGCTGCTGTTGTTGTGTTGTTGCTGGTGTTGATGAGCATGCTGCTTGGGAATGAGATTGAGGTGGCTGATGTGAATGATGTTGATGTTGTAATGTCTGTTGCAATTGTTGTTGCTGCTGCTGTTTGGCATGACGTCTGCATGACATGCTATTGAAAATTGCTAGAAGGAACATGTGTCGAGGCCCCATAATTATCATACAAATCAATGGACTGGCAATGCTGTTATCGAACGATGATGATGTGCTCTCATTAGGGGTGGTGGTGGTGGCGAAGGAGTTGCATTTGTCACCGAAGTGTTACACTTATATGCTTGATTTGCTATTGTAGCCTGGCTTGTTGCTGCTGTACTTGCTGCGGCAGTGGATGTAATTGTTGTTGCTTGGACACTTGATTTCACCATGGGTTTCTTTAACATGTTTGATGATGCTGATGATATATTCGATCTATGGGATTCGAGAGTGCTGTGAGGTGTAAGGAATTCGTTGACGTTGTTATTACTACTGGTGGATACAAAGGGCGTAGTCTTAGAGGTGTATTCTTTGAGACTTTGTGTGGAACCCTGTTGATAGGCCAAACGAGGACACGAAACCCACCAGACAACCGGTTGATCGTTGTAACGACAATTTTCACACAATATTCGTTGTGTGGTCAAAGCGGCAGGAGTGGCTATTGAAATGTCCCGAAATCCAGGAGGTGCGGGTAGTGTCAATTCCAAGGCAGATTGTTCGCTTAATGATTTTTGTAAGACTGTTTTGGAAATCGTTTGCTTGCTGATGTTGCATGCAGTTGGCTTGTTACTTCTGCTGGGAATTTGTGGAGGATGTTCACAACTAAGATTATACCTTCGTCACACTGCACATTTGCTGCATAAAATTATGTTTTTATTTTTACTATTTGTGCTTTTGATTAAAGCTGATCTTCTTAGTTCCTGTTCCGAATTCGTTCTGGGGGTATAATGGCCACAATTGTGTTGAATATGTTGCTGATGCTGCTGCGTCTGATATAGCGCTTGCTGAGGAAGATATTGATGCTGCTGCTGCTGTTGTTGTTGTTGCTAGTTGCTGCTGTTGTCGTCTCAGAGCACTGAAAAGATTTCGGGGCAAACTACGATACTGATTCAATTGTGGACAACTACTGTAAAGGGATGATGGTGATGGTGAATTCGTTGTATTGTCTGGGTAGTCACCACTACCAGTGGCCATATTATCATGGCCTCCTAAACGACAATTATAATTACAGTTGAGCTGTTTGTTGTCACCACATTTATATTGGCATGTGGCATACAATTTCATTGTTTATTTATTTTGACAATTGTATAGAATTGTGTGCGTGTGTTGTTGTTTTTTTTTTTTGGCAGTTGGTGTTAGTTGGTGTTAGAAGAGAGTGCAAGACAGATAGAGAAAGAGAGAGAAGAAGTATATGTTCTTTTTATTATTACCACAGTCCACTGAAATAATAATGGATGATAAATTCCTCTATCTCTGGCTAAAGAGAAATTCATCATACGCCGAAGACAATAGTCATTTTTATGGCCATTATTAAATGATCTGTAATGATTTAAGAAAAATATTTATATACTTAGTAGCCGATTAGTATAAAATTTCATTATTATTATTATTATTAACATTATATTTAAATTACTTAAAAATTCTATTGGTAAGCAAATTTACCCTTGACCTAAACCATAGAAATATACAATTTAGTTTAGAATTTTATCACATTGTTTATTGTTATTACAATTTTGTAATTTTTCTTATTTTTTTATATCTTATTCTTAGTTTACTTTATGACATTTTTCAATGACAAGGCACAGTGGGTGATATTTGCAGAGTAATTGAAATTGTTCTGCCATGAAATTCTCTTACACAAAAAGTCCTTCAGTTTTGCATAGATTTTTTTCTATTTGTATTTTTTCTAAAATTGTCCAAAATTTTATTACCATTTTTTTATTCATTAATAACTTAGTTCCCTATTTCCCACTGTATTTTATCCTTTTTTTCTCTCTTTTAAATAAATGCCTTCTCAGCCAAAATTGTGAAAACCATTGCGACATTATTTTTTTATTATTATTCTTTGCTTTAATCTCTTAAATACTTTACCAAGTAATAACAATTTTTGCTAGAGATACTAATCTGTTTAAATAGATTTAAGTTTTGTTACTTATACATAATCTCCCCTTTTTCATAAATTTATTAAAAGGATTTTTCAATTTAGCAATATTGAAAATTATTTCATTTAATCTGTGCAATATTGAAATACATAATACTTTCTATACTCAGAGAAAAATTCTTACAAAAATTGTTTGTTTTTATTAAAACTTTGAGAATTTTAAGCAGCAATTGTTATTTGTCAAAACCCTGGGGGAAATTGATAAGAATAAACTAGCCATGTGACTTGTGTAAGGATATCACAAAACAAAAACTGTTAAAGGAATTTGTGCATTTATGCAATATATTCGTTTTGATTAATTTAATAATACACAGCATAAGCCCTAATATGTATAAAACTACTCCTCCTGGCTGTCATGCTTTCCTAAAGTTGGAACTAGATTAGACTCAAATAAGAAACCATGGCAGTAGTCGTAACATATCCTCTCTCCATCGTTAGGTAAATCGTTATATAAACCTCCATTAGTTTTAGCTCCCCTCCCTTCCCTCCCAAATCCCTTCTCTCTAACCACTATCTGTTTTTAGCCTCTATGCAAGATTTTTACATAACAATCGACAAGACAGATCGATCTCTCTGCAAACCATTCTTTTAGCCCTAAGAATGATCAGAAATAATGAAATACCCCGACTAACAGTGGTGTCCCAAATAAATTATTCTAAACTAACTTTAGCCCAATATCCTACGTTAGGTAGTTAGTTAGTTAATTAGTTAGTTAGTTAGTTAGTTAGTTAGTTAGTTAGTTAGTTAGTTAGTTACTTACTTACTTAGTTAGTTAGTTAGTTAGTTAGTTAGTTAGTTAGTTAGTTAGTTAGTTAGTTAGTTAGTTCGTTAGTTAGTTTAGTTAGTAGTTAGTTAGTCTGTTAGTTAGTTCGTTAGTTAGTTAGTTAGTTAGTTAGTTTAGTTAGTTAGGTCAGTTAGTCGTTAGTTCGTTCGTTTGTAGTTAGTTCTTAGTTAGTTAGTTAGTTCGTTAGTTCGTTCGTTCGTTCGTTTCGTTAGTTCGTTTCTGTTCGTTCGTTCGTTCGTTAGTTCGTTCGTTCGTTCGTTCGTTCGTTCTTCGTTCGTTCGTTCGTTCGTTCGTTCGTTCGTTCGTTCGTTCGTTCGTTCGTTCGTTCGTTCGTTGTTCGTTCGTTCGTTCGTTGTTCGTTCGTTCGTTCGTTCGTTCGTTTCGTTCGTTCGTTCGTTCGTTCGTTCGTTCGTTCGTTCGTTCGTTCGTTTCGTTCGTTCGTTTCGTTTCGTTCGTTCGTTCGTTCGTTTCGTTCGTTCGTTCGTTCGTTCGTTCGTTCGTTCGTTCGTTCGTTCGTTAGTTCGTTCGTTCGTTCGTTCGTTCGTTCGTTCGTTCGTTCGTTTCGTTCGTTCGTTCGTTCGTTCGTTCGTTCGTTCGTTCGTTCGTTCGTTCGTTCGTTCTTCGTTCGTTCGTTCGTTCGTTCGTTCGTTCGTTCTTCGTTTCGTTCGTTCGTTCGTTCGTTCGTTCGTTCGTTCGTTCGTTCGTTTCGTTCGTTGTTCGTTCGTTCGTTCGTTCGTTCGTTCGTTCGTTCGTTCGTTCGTTTCGTTTTCGTTCGTTCGTTTCGTTCGTTCGTTCGTTCTTTTCGTTCGTTCGTTCGTTCGTTCGTTCGTTCTTCGTTCGTTCGTTCTTGTTCGTTCGTTCGTTCGTTCGTTCGTTCGTTCGTTCGTTCGTTCGTTCGTTCGTTGTTCGTTGTCGTTCGTTCGTTCGTTGTGTTCGTTCGTTTCGTTCGTTCGTTCGTTCGTTCGTTCGTTTCGTTCGTTCGTTCGTTCGTTCGTTCGTTCGTTCGTTTCGTTCGTTCGTTTCGTTCGTTCGTTGTTCGTTGTCGTTCGTTCGTTCGTTCGTTCGTTCGTTTTTCGTTCGTTCGTTCGTTCGTTCGTTCGTTCTTTTCGTTCGTTCGTTCGTTCGTTCGTTCGTTCGTTCGTTCGTTCGTTCGTTCGTTCGTTCGTTCGTTCGTTCGTTCGTTGTTCGTTCGTTCTTCGTTCGTTCGTTCGTTCGTTCGTTCGTTCGTTCGTTCGTGTTTTCGTTTCGTTCGTTCTTCGTTCGTTCGTTCGTTCGTTCGTTCGTTCGTTCGTTTCGTTTCGTTCGTTCGTTCGTTTCGTTCGTTCGTTCGTTCGTTCGTTCGTTCGTTCGTTCGTTCTTTCGTTCGTTCGTTCGTTCGTTCGTTCGTTCGTTCGTTCGTTCGTTCGTTCGTTCGTTTCGTTCGTTCGTCGTTTCGTTCGTTCGTTCGTTCGTTCGTTTCGTTCGTTCGTTTCGTTCGTTTCGTTCGTTCGTTCGTTCGTTCGTTCGTTCGTTCGTTCGTTCGTTCGTTCGTTCGTTCGTTCGTTCGTTCGTTCGTTCGTTCGTTCGTTCGTTTCGTCGTTCGTTCGTTCGTTCGTTCGTTCGTTCGTTCGTTCGTTCGTTGTTCGTTCGTTCGTTCGTTCGTTCGTTGTTCGTTCGTTCGTTCGTTCGTTCGTTCGTTCGTTCGTTTCGTTCGTTCGTTCGTCTCCCTGCCCTCGCGTTCCCCTGTCTTCCCCCTCTGTCTTCTTTCTGTATGCGTTGCACCTTCCACTTCGTCTTTTTTCCAAATAAACAAACCTAATTCACTGTTTTATGCTTTTAAACATTAATTAACTTTAGGTAAATGTACTACTTCTTAAGTCAGAGTACAAAGTAAACAAGTCTATAGTTTCAACACAACAATTAGGAGAGAAGGAAAAGCAAATTCCAATTATTACGAATCGAATACTTCAAAACAAAAAATCCCCTGAAATTTCATTTAAATAAATGACCGTTGCTGCTGCTGTACAGCAAGAAATCAAAACTCTTCGATACGTGACTTTGCTTTCATCAATCTAAACCAAAAAAATTTACTGATTCATGTTCGAAAGAAGTGAAAACAAAAAAAAAACAGAAGGCAAAATTGTTTCCTCTTAACAACATCCTAACTAAGTACTTCCTAAAGATTCCCTTTGTCTTTTGCTTTTTTCTATTGCTAACATTTACAATGATGTCATTTCATGTTAACAAATATAGAAAAAATAATAAGGAACAAGAAGAAGAAGTAGAGGCGACAAATAGGTCAAAGTAATTTTGAAAAAGTCCTTTTAAACTATTAAGCTCTTTTGTTTCTCGGCTCTATTCTGTTTTATCTATTACAGACATTTTGTTGTGAGTGTAGTGGCCAAAGAGTGTATAGTGAGTGCTTTTTATCATTATACTACACATGTTCAACCTCATACTCAATTAAAAATTCAGTTTGAATAATAAATTGGTTTTTTACTACTTACATGAATGAGAGAAGACAAACAATCAAATAGTTGAACACATATTTACACAGGCACATACATAGATGCACACATACATACATACATACATACATACAGGCAGACAAACAAACAAATAGACAAACAACTACAAAGTATTCGATTTTTATCTACTGTCCTAGAAAATTACAACTCATCACTCTCGGCAGCATACAACAGCGATGAATGAATGACTTGACTGACTAACTGACTGACACACATATTTATACTCAGTATACATGCATGCTTGCATTTACATGTATGCATATTTGTATGTTTGTGTATGTGTTTTTGATTTTTTTTGTATAAAAATAAAAACAATAACAACTCTTTGGTACACTGACTGGCATGCTACTACTGCTGCTGGTTGTTATCTATATTTCCTAGACATCATTGTACTTCCGTTTTCAGTTTCCCTTCCATACAGACAGACACAGCATAAAGTGCATAAACAATATTGTTTAAAATATTGTGAATGTTAACAACAACGACGACAACAACATCGCCAACAACAACAACAAATTTAATTCCTACAAAATATAAAAAATACTTGCAACAACAAAATAATTTATATTTTTTCAATTTTCTAGTTTTTTTTTCGACATTTTTTTATTCTGGCACGAATCTGTGGTACTACAAGCTTACTTTAGGACAATTCCCACTAACACATATACTTTCAAACATAACATATTTTTATCCAGTCACATACACGTACATACATATACGGTAAATACAATCACACCCAGAGCTACACTTACTATACAGGCATACATTCAAATAACCATTTTCTCTTCTCCATTGTTTAAATAACAACAATTTGTTTAATTTGTCATCTCCT